CTGGCGCATAACTCGACCTGGATAAATCTCAGAATGGGAACAGAAATGTTATCGGATAATTTTAAGGATACAACTAAAGCCTAGCTGAACAGTCACTTCCTGATCTCGGTGAAACTAGCCTAACTTTCTGGTCATCAGTTCACTCAGCCGCTGTAACTTTAGTACTGTATTTAGACGCACTGTATCAAGGACAAAATCCTTGTGTTTACATCATACAAGGCTACCACACACCCCCAGGGGCTTCCACTATCTTCAGACTGTCGGCCAGACGAGCAGAAGACGTCAGTGTTCAGGAAAGGTCGGGTTTAGAAACAGGTTTGTTGATTTATGGAACAAATTACCGAGTAACATAATATATCTAAGAACGCTGGACCGTTTCAAGCGTAGATTAGACATATATATATATGAATGCGTAAGTATCCTCTACGATAGAAATACTTATTTCCTGATAATGTGTTGAAACTCGAAAACGTTCGGAAGTTTCGTTTCATTTTCCTAGTGGATACTTACGCTTAATCGAATCACATGTTTTTGTGATTATTCTGCATGTATGTGACTGAGTCTTGGTGGAGGTAAATGGGCAACCCGTCCTCTTAAAAAGGACGTCTTAAGGACGAAAAGGACTTAAAAAAGACGACGGTTGCCCTCTTAAAATGTGCAACCCGTCCTCTTGACGTTGTAATATCGTCAATGACGATATTACAACGTCACTTTTCGCTCGTATGCGCACTATGGCCAAATTTGGACGTAATTTGAAATGAAATCGACTCACAAAAGCAACCCGTCCTCGACTCAAGTCCATTACATTCAGCGGTCAACCCCACAGACACATTCATAAATTTTAACATGCTGTTCATTCAAAACGGGAATTTTCTCAAGTATAAATTAATATTATAATATATTAGCATATTGTTTATATATAGGCATAGGTTAGGTTAGGTGTTTAGGTTCTGTTGGCGATTATTTGTATTTGTAGTACGTGGGTGAAGCATTTATAGCGTTGTGATTCGAACAAAATTCGTCACTGAAGCACTTGTTCCGGATATGTTCGAACGTCAGCAGTTGTGAGTCGTGTGTAAACCGCTTTTCATTCATAAACAGGGGGTTTGGCGGGTGCATGGAATCACTTTTGGATCTTTGTTTGGAGGACGGGCTGCACAAAAGTGACGTACTGTCCCGTTTTCTGTTCGAGTCGTCCGGCTTACTCGGCAACAGGTTAAAAAGAGATGCCTCGGGTTAGCCAAGACGCCTTCATACAGTCTCCTGTATTTTTATGTTCTATATCTACAGAAGAGAATGTCTGTCTGTCTGTCTGTTCGAGGTTAGGACCAGATGCTTGCGGCTAGATTCACTAAACTTTGCAGGGTGACTGGTCCTTGTCCGGAGAGGGTCATAGGTTGATCTGGGCCTAATCCCATCCCTTTTCCCCATTTGTACGAAAGGGAAAATTATACTAATTTCCAATCTCGCTAAATACCAGACTCCATCATTACCATCGTTTAACATATTATTTTGTATATGATAATTAAATATTACTTTTACGTAGTGTATTGATGAAAACGATATTTAGTGAAAATATAGGGATGAATGGGAAGTGAGGAAGAGTAGTGATGGTGTTGAGTGAAGGTAGTGATAAATAAGGAGAGTGGGGGAAGGGTAGGGAAAGTGGTAATGGGTAGGGAAGATAGTGAAGGAGAAGGTAGGCAGTAATAATGGTGGTTGTTGATGGAATACCTAGCGGTGCCTTAATTAGCAGTGAAAATGGTTATAGTGATTAAAACGGCATGTAGTGAAGAAGATTACAGTGATGACGAGGATGGTCGTGTAGAATTTAGATGGTTACAGTATAGAAGGCTGTTTGTAGTGAAGATGGTTACACTGAAGAACAAGGTGAATAAACAAGATGGTTACGCAGCGGCCATTCCCCCTATTCTTGATCGCTACACTGAGGCGCACTCCTTAAGAAACCTCCTTGCACACTCTCCCCCATGGACCATAAGGGTCTCGGATCCTACTCGAATGAAGTTGTACTGGTGATCTAATTCCCTGTACTTGGTTGACTTGTCTCTTTCTCTGTGTGTCGACGCCATTCTAATTTGCTTTTTTTCTCTTTGACTAACCATTTGGGCTGGACGGTAGAGCGACAGTCTCGCTTCATGCAGGTCAGCGTTCAATCCCCCGACCGTCCACAAGTGGTTGGGCACCATTCCTTCCCTCCGTTCCCATCCCAAATCCTTATCCTGATCCATTCCAAGTGCTATATAGTCGTAATGGCCTGGCGCTTTCCCCTGAGAGTTCCCTTCTCTCTCTTTGACTCTTTCTGTTTTGTAGATTTGGCCGCACTGTTGATCCACTGTTGATTCACTGTTGATCCACTGTTGATCTACTGTTGATCCACTGATGATCCACTGATGATCCTTCTGCCAGCACACACACCTTTCTGTAGGCTAGTCACAGTAGTCAGTGAATCGGGTGTGTGTTGGTCGGTGAGACACGGAGGTGAAGCAAACGTTTTGGTGCCAGGAGCTCCAAAGAGACAGCTTCGTTGGTGTGTCAGGTGTGTGCCAGCGAGTCAGGTGTGTGCCAGCGAGCCAGGTGTGCCAGCGAGCCAGGTGTGTAGAGCTGAGGACTGAGACCAGGGCTGTGTAAGGATCTCTGATATGAATTCGCGTGCGTGTTTCTGCCCCGGAAGTCAAGGAAAGCGTTCTATTATGACTTTTTTTGTAACCAGACAGTAAGACAGTGATCAATGATGAGTGACGTTTACCCTTCCCCTGTGTGTGTGTGTGTGTGTGTGTGTGTGTGTGTGTGTGTGTGTGTGTGTGTGTGTGTGTGTGTGTGTGTGTGTGTGTGTGTGTGTGTGTGTGTGTGTGTGTGTGTGTGTGTGTGTGTGTGTGTGTGTGTGTGTGTGTGTGTGTGTGTGTGTGTGTGTGTGTGTGTGTGTGTGTGTGTGTGTGTGTGTGTGTGTGTGTGTGTGTGTGTGTGTGTGTGTGTGTGTGTGTGTGTGTGTGTGTGTGTGTGTGTGTGTGTGTGTGTGTGTGTGTGTGTGTGTGTGTGTGTGTGTGTGTGTGTGTGTGTGTGTGTGTGTGTGTGTGTGTGTGTGTGTGTGTGTGTGTGTGTGTGTGTGTGTGTGTGTTACTATACACTTTCCTGAGTTAAATTTTAGTAGCCATTTTCTACACCATTCCTCCAGTTTGTCCAGATCATCCTGTAGATTGTCTTGATTCTTCTCGTACTTTTCGCATCATCAGCAAACATTGAGAGGAAAGAGGTTATACCCTCTGGAAGATCGTTTACAAATATCAGAAACAGGATGGGTCCAAGTACAGAGCCCTGTGGGGACCCCGCAGTGTGATCACGCCACTCTGATGTCTCCCCCTCACAGTTACTCGCTGTTGTTTTAGTTTCAGCCACTCAGAACAAAAGTTCCCCGTAGCACGGGCTGATGAGCCTGTCTGTGTAGATTCCTTACACAGTTACTCGTTGTTTCCTGTTGCTTAGATACTCCTTTATCTACTGGAGCACCTTACCTAACAGCCTTTTATGGGGTACTGTGTCAAAGGCTTTCTGACAGTCCAAGAAAATGGAGTCTGCCCACCCTTCTTTTTCTTGTCTTGTCAGAGGCCTGTGAGGCACGATTTACCGTCCCTCAACTCATGCTGGAGGTGTTTTACAAAACTCCATTTCTCCATCACCTTGCATGGTATACATCGTAGGGAAACTGGCCTGTGGTTCAGTGCCTCTTGACTGTCACCCTTCTTGTATATTGGGACTACAATATGTAGTCCCAATATGTGTGTGTGTGTGTGTGTGTATTTACTATTTGTGTCTGCAGGATCGAGCTATTAGCTCTTGGACCCCACCTGCCAAGCATCAGGATATCCCCACTTGTCACAGAAGCGGAGCAAGTAGCACGGGCTATAGTGAGCCCGTAGTGGACTTACCCGGCACAGGAGCGGGGCAAGTAGCACGGGCTATAGTAAGCCCGTAGTGGACTTACCCGGCACAGGAGCGGGGCAAGTAGCACGGGCTATAGTGAGCCCGTAGTGGACTTACCCGGCACAGGAGCGGGGCAAGTAGCACGGGCTATAGTGAGCCCGTAGTGGACTTACCCGGCACAGGAGCGGGGCAAGTAGCACGGGCTATAGTGAGCCCGTAGTGGACTTACCCTGCACAGGAGCGGGGCAAGTAGCACGGGCTATGGTGAGCCCGTAGTGGACTTACCTGGTACAGAAGCGGGGCAAGTAGCACGGGCTATGGTGAGCCCGTAGTGGACTTACCTGGCACAGGAGCGGGGCTGTAACTGAGCAACAGGCGCTCCTAACACACCGTAGACGCCACGCCGTGGGCGCCACACCGTGGACCCCACACCGTGGACCCCACACCGTGGGCGCCACACCGTGGACCCCACACCGTGGACCCCACACCGTGGGCCCCACACCGTGGACCCCACACCGTGGACCCCACACCGTGGACCCCACACCGTGGGCGCCACACCGTGGACCCCACACCGTGGACCCCACACCGTGGGCGCCACACCGTGGACCCCACACCGTGGACCCCACACCGTGGGCGCCACACCGTGGACCCCACACCGTGGACCCCACACCGTGGGCGCCACACCGTGGACCCCACACCGTGGACCCCACACCGTGGGCGCCACACCGTGGACCCCACACCGTGGACCCCACACCGTGGGCGCCACACCGTGGACCCCACACCGTGGACCCCACACCGTGGGCGCCACACCGTGGACCCCACACCGTGGACCCCACACCGTGGACCCCACACCGTGGGAGCCACATGTCCAGATCAACACCGTGCAAGAATCCAAACCTCGCCTAACATCTGCGAGATCACCTCATCTTTCAACGTACAAAGCTAAGTAAAGCCAGAAATGAAGAAGGAACTGATCAATAAAGAAGATGACAAGTAAATAAAATAAAATATCCAGTTATTAATTCGGCAAACACGCACGAGGCTGTCGCTCGAGACCGAGGCTACGAGGACAGGAAGATATGGAAGACAGTATTAACCTGTAACAGAATATACGGGACACGCGACGGGGGAATATTTACTGGGTTCGATACCCGTTTACACTGGGTACGATACACCAGTTTACACTGGGTACGATACACCCGTTTACACTGGGTACGATACACCAGTTTACACTGGGTACGATACACCCGTTTACACTGGGTACGATACACCAGTTTACACTGGGTACGATACACCCGTTTACACTGGGTACGATACACCAGACACTGGGTACGATACACCAGTTTACACTGGGTACGATACACCAGTTTACACTGGGTACGATACACCAGTTTACACTGGGTACGATACACCAGTTTACACTGGGTACGATACACCAGTTTACACTGGGTACGATACACCAGTTTACACTGGGTACGATACACCAGTTTACACTGGGTACGATACACCAGTTTACACTGGGTACGATACACCAGTTTACACTGGGTACGATACACCAGTTTACACTGGGTACGATACACCAGTTTACACTGGGTACGATACACCAGTTTACACTGGGTACGATATACCAGTTTACACTGGGTACGATACACCAGTTTACACTGGGTACGATATACCGTGCAGACTACTTAATTATCATGCGTTCAATCACCTGTCGGCCCAACCACTTGGGCTGGACGGTAGAGCGACGGTCTCGCTTCATGCAGATCGGTGTTCAATCCCCCACCCGACCGTCCAAGTAGTTGGGCACCATTCCTTCCCCCCGTCCCATCCCAAATCCTTATCCTGACCCCTTCCCAGTGCTATATAGTTGTAATGGCTTGGCGCTTTCGCCTGATATTTCCTTCAATCACCTGTCACCCGCAGTTGTAATGTTCCCCCCCCCCCTCTCTTCGTTAATTGTCTACGGGTGTGACGGCCGTTACTAAACAACGCTGGTAACAGCAATGCAGACTGTTGACAAGGGGGGGAATAACGAGTGAGGCGTTACAGGGTAATTTGATGTAAGCACATGCTAAGGTTCTCGTTACTTACAGTACTAACTTAACTACTCAGGTTCTAACTAACTTAGTTTGGTATTTTAAGCGATTCAGTTGACTATCAAAGCGGAGAGTTGACTCCATCTTAGTTGCATCCTTCCATTATACATAATAGGTAATTTAAGCAGAACTACGCATTTAGTAAGAAAAACCTATAATCAGTTACGCTTACGCAAACAAGCGCAGAAATTATACCTCTCCCGTCAAAATACTCACCTCGATAGCATATTTTTTGTTTTGTTATATTTTCCAATCGTTCAGTCTCGATCGTAACGATTAATCCGACGAGCGACGCGCGAGCGACATGCGAGTTGCGGCGTGTTGAGACCAGTCAGGACGGAGTGCCTCCTGGGGTCGCGTCCGCCCCCCGCCACTGCCAGAGTCAGACTGACCTCCGCTCCCAGCCTGTGTACCACGCCCCGCACCTGACAGCTCCTCACCTTGCCTCCCCTACCACCACCAGGTACCACCCCCCCCCCCCGGGCCCCTCATACCCACCTCAGACGGGCCAGGAAGATCACGGCCTGTCATGCCTCTTCTTGACAGCGTGACGGGATGGTGTCAAGGCGTGTGTGTCATCCACCAGGCTTGTGTGTGGTGTGCCTCGTCTACCACCACCCACGGGATGGGTCCCGGATGCATAATACACAAATACGATTAAAATGTAACTCGTCTAACACAGTATAACTTGTATAGCCTAAAGGAACGATAAGTCTTCCCTAAGCTTAGGCTCTCGATACGCTGGGCACAGACAGCTTCCTGAGGCGATGTCCTGGTTTAGGTCACGCTTAAAACGTTATCACTAGTGTTTGATAAGGGAGCCGGTCGGCCGAGCGGACAGCACGGTGAACTTGTGATCCTGTGGTCCCGGGTTCGATCCCGGGCGCCGGCGAGGAACAATAGGCACAGTTTCTTTCACCCTATGCCCCTGTTACCTAGCAGTAAATAGGTATCTGGGTGTTAGTCAGCTGTCACGGGCTGCTTCCTGGGGGTGGAGGCCTGGTCGAGGACACTAAAAGCCCCGAAATCATCTCAAGATAACCTCAAGCGTGGAGATGTTATCGTAACCAACGTCATAAATGCAGTGTGTGAAGATAAGAAACGGGTCACAAGTAAGTCTTCACGGCCTGATCAACCAGGCTGTGACTCATACGTCAGGCTGCGAGCAGCCGCGTCCAACAGCCTGGTTGATCAGTCCGGCAACCAGGAGGCCTGGTCGACGACCGGGCCGCGGGGACGCTAAGCCCCGGAAGCACCTCAAGGTAACCTCAAGGTAACGGTTTCAATGTGCGGGTCTCGATAAGGTTAGGTGGGTTGCTTGGGTGCGCACGTTTCTGGATATGATAAAAGGTTGGTTTTTGGACGGAGTGGCAGATCAAGAGAAGGATCTGGTTATGCAACAATGATGCGCATTGTTATCATTCTTGCAAAGAACTGCGCATAATATAGTTTGCGGTGATTGGGGCCTCTTGTCACCAATACTGACCTCTGCTTTACGGGCTATTCATGCCCGTGCCACCTCTTGGGGTGGCTTAATCTTCATCAATCAATCTCCTTCCAGTCTGCAAGCCACAATAGTTGCCTAACTCCCCGGTACCTGCTTAGTACTCAGTGGCACCAGATGAAAGGAAAGGTGCCCAACCGTCCTACCGCGGAAATTGAACCCAGGACCATTCAGTTCTAAGACGATAATGTTGACCAGACCACACACTAGAAGGTGAAGGGACGACGACGTTTCGGTCCGTCCTGGACCATTCTCAAGTCGATTGTGATGAGGAAGATGATGATGAAGATTAAGCCACCCAAAAGGTGGCACGGGCATGAATAGCCCGTAAGTGGCGGCCCTTTTGAGCCATTACCAGTATCAAGAGCTGATACTGAAGATCTGTGGAGGTGCGACTGCACCCAGCGTGACGGGAGATGTCTCCCGTGTGATGAGGAAGAAGATGAAGATGAAGCCACCCAAAAGGTGGCACGGGCATGAATAGCCCGTAAGTGGTGGCCCTTTTGAGCCATTACCAGTATCAAGAGATCTGGAGTACTGGAGATCTGTGGAGGTGCGAATGCACCCTGCATGACGGGAGATGTCTCCTTTGTGAATGTGTTAAGATGAAGATGAAGCCACCCAAGAGGTGGCACGGGCATGAATAGCCCGTAAGTGGTGGCCCTTTTGAGCCATTACCAGTATCAATAGATGATACTGGAGATCTGTGGAGGTGCGACTGCACCCTGCGTGACGGGAGATGTCTCCCGTCTTGATGAGGAAGTAAATGCAGGCAATAAATAGGCTTGAGAAAGGTGAGGAGCAAAGTGAATAGAGGGGATAGTAGTAGGAATAAGTCGATAATGTAGACTACTGCGCCTTTATATCATGAGCGGCCAAGAGTGCGCACCAAGCCCGAGTTCACCGCCGGTGTTGGAAAACGCGCAGCTGCGCTGTCTCAAGAGCGCGTCGAGGATCTTCTGCTACAAGCCCTCCAACAACGACAGTACCTGTGGCAACTGTTGCTCGAACGTACAAAACTGGACTGTTATACCCTAAAAAGTTCATGTTTTGCACTATTGCAATCCTTCAAATTGCCTGCTGAAAAAAATGCAACAGTAACTATAGTACATAACCTCACCAGTCCTAGGCCTGATACATGCCATCTTCCGAGAAAGTCCGTAGGACCCGTGATGAGGGTTCGAACCTATGCGGTGGGTGTTCCCCCGCGCACGCTTCTATAGCCACTATAGACTACGATATGGTAATCCTTGTGTGAGTTCAGAAGAACTCCAGGTTGCAGTTCTTATACCATGTTATGGTCTAGTCGCTAGAAGCGTGTGAGTGGTAACACCCACCGCATAGATTCGAAACCCCTTCACTGCCCCTAAGGACTTTGTAGGAGTACCAGTTAGTGTGATTACTCTCTGTGTATGCCATCCTTCGCTCCAGGAGCACAGCCCGTGTGCTGCTGGACCCACAAAACGCCACGTTTCGTATTCTTTAGTAACTTTTTCCGATTTAGAATACCGTTTAGCATTCTATTAAATGGGAAAAGTAACTCAAGAACCTAACCTAACCTCTCCAAGGAATCCTAGGCCTAATACACGCTATCATAGGCCTAATACAGTATATACTGGTACTATACTAGACCTTGGGAAGGTTAGGTTTGGTTGTGGCCTTATCTTTCATGCTTTGTGCACACATAATAGCACAAAACGTGGTTATCTGCAGGGGCAACAGTCCATTTTTGTACGTTCAACCAATAGTTGCTATACTTACAGTCATATTTGGATGCCGGGTTGTCCAGTCTAACAAAAAGTTTAACTTTAGTCTAGTCTAACTTGTTCAGTCTAACGTCAGTCTAAAGTATTCAATCTTACATCTGTTATAAAAGTCTCCCATAAATATTACACAGTTTCTTTAACGCATGAAATATTATCCATGTTCTATGATTCCAGTTATATTAAGAGAAAGGGTAAACTTCGTAAATTCAGGGAGACGATAAACAGAAATCCTCATTTACTACATCACACTTACAACTTGACTTGAATGACCATAAGCCAGCAGGGAAATGATAAAGGAAGGGGTTAAGGCCACGGCGGAAATATAATATGTCTTCGAGTTTGAGAAGAAGAATAGGATAAAAATTAATTATTATTATTATTATTATTATTATTATTATTATTATTATTATTATTATTATTAAAAAGAAGTGTAGCGATCCAGTCACCTCAGGTTTGTGATTATTTTATCTAAGGGCCACCATCTCTAGAGGCCTTCACAGGGACACGAAGCCGGCGGCTTGTTAAAAATCCACCACATTTTCCCTAAAGATTTTTTCAGTGCATTATGCACCCCATACTCATCTTGTGGACGGTAGTGGAAAGGGTTACATAGGCACATAATGGCCTCAGGGACTGAGCATCCATAGTTCGTATAGCTAAGCAAGTTACACTCTTGATGAACTAGTTACACAATTCAATGATCTTCACATCAACAATGGGCTCGAGACCGACCACAAGTACAGTTTCACACTGACATATGTGGAGAGCTAGTGTCATAATTGATATGTTTGTCCTGCACACCGCCCCAGATCCAGTGGGCAGCGGTGGATAGGTTACAATCACTCAGTTACTACCTACAGTTAGCAAACTGGGGATATTTGGCTACGATTTCTGGCAGCAGATAATTTTGAATGAAACATTTACACATCTCATGATGTGCTGCCCGAAATCTTAGCGAAGTATCCAAAATTTGCTTACTGTAGGTAATGCATGCACATGACTGTAAAGCTGCCGCCCAGTTGGGTGGGTGTGGAGCAAGACTAGTAACTGTGTGACTCACCATAGATGTAAAGTGCTTTGTATAGTGACTGTTGTGAGCCTCTTGTTGATTACTTGTGACACAAAAGATTATTGATGTGTGTATTTGTGTGGGTGATTATATATGTATGTGTATGTATATATGTATACGTATATATATATGCGAACAAGCCTGAATGGTCCCCAGGATTATATATATATATATTGTGACGGTAACGCGTTGGTGTTCGGCTGTTTAAGGCTAGGGGTATGGC